CTCTTGCTCTCTGTCAAAACCCGCCATGGATCCTTCACGGATCCCATAGTGCTGGCTAGGGAGACCAACTTGACTGTCAACAGTTACAGCTTCTGCTGGTGGCTTTAGCTCACAAGTACTGCTGTCCCAATCTTCCCATTCTGCCTGCTTTGCCTAAGAGCTCACACACCCCCTCTTCTGCCATCGGTTCCTTCACTGCGACTGCGCAGAGGTTGGCCTGCAGCACATAAAACCTCGTACTGCAAAGTCCTCCGAGCTGCAGAACAGAACTCACCCACATATCACGATAGCCTTACTAGCATCCAGCCCTGGATACCTGGCTGGGAAAATGCTTCTTCCTCCACCAATATCCCACAGGACAGATTGTTAAAGGACCTGCAGAGGTGCCCTCCGTTCCCCGAGCGTCCTACTTGCACACCAAAACCATTCGAAGCTCTCTAGGCCCCATTAGCTCTGCTATCTTCTTTGGCCTGCCATATGGCAGATATATAAGCGCACAGATGGAAGACTTGTGCCTCCTGTGATCCTGCCTCCTTCAGAAAAACAGCCTAGAGAATACTTGTTACGGTAGCATTCTGAAATCCTTAAATTTTTAAAATAAGCAGTGGAGCTGAACAGTGTTAAAACACATAGCTGCTATATCCTGCACGAACAATTTAAGGCAGATATTCACATCGCACTCTTCAGTTACCTGTGGCAGTTCCCTCAGTGACAAAATTGAAGCATTTATACTATCACCAGCAAAGCCCTGCTGCGAGCACCCTACTCTGATACAAAAGTAATTTTCCTCATTTAGTGCAGAACTGCTTCAAAGCCATACGAGCTAAACCAGGGAAGGCAGAACTGGTGGCTGAACTGAAAGTTATTCTAACGCAAAGGGTTTATACGCACACTTTAGTGTTGGTCCCACATAAACAACCCAACTTCCACCTCGGTTTATGTGGCACTAGCTGTCCTCAGGCCGTCCTTTTCACTCTTCGTTCTTTTTTCCCCATCAGCGCCTGTCTCTCTCTCTCTCTCTCTCTTTTCCTTTGATCCCTCTGTGACTATTTGAGCTGAGCTAAGGTATAGCTGCAACCTTCCATAATCCAATAAAAACTTTTCCCACCAAAATAAAAGAAGAGGCAGACTAACTCTGACCTCCAGGGACAGACGAGAAGGGAACCCACTGCCCTGTTACAAGTAGGTCAATCATGGAAAAGCACCTTTTCTCTTTTAATATCCATGTAGTAGAGCCAAGGTTTATTGCCACCCACCTAAGGAATTTGTCTGAATTTGCTTCTAGAAACTCAGCGCATCCGAATGTCGGAACACATACGATGTCTCCCTCCTGGACAAGCCTAAAAAAAAAAAAAAAGAGAGAGAGAGAGAGAGTTTCACCAATGGTGGACAGTAAATCCTTCTACCCACCACACCACACAGGTTTTCACAAAGAAGAGCGTAGCTATTCACAGTGTTTTGTTCCTTTTCCTGTATTCCAACATTATAAATAGCTACACAAACATCTAGCACGTCCCAGATGAGAGTAGGTGCATAAGGACTACGAAGGGGAACGTTATTACCTTCTGGGAAGAATCTGCCAGTGATATAGAAGATCAATGCTATTAAAGAGCATCGCCTCTCTATGCCTAGAACAGCCGAGTGCAACTCTGAAGCAGCTCGGGGGCAAGTCGTAAGAGAAGACCTCCTCTGCGCAGCCAGCTTGCCAATCATTCAACTGCACGCAAAGTTGAATGCCAGGATACGAACACACCCCAGAATGGAGGTCTGTGGGCAGTATTTGGGAGCCCTCAATGCCGGAGGGTAAGTCACAGGGAGGGAGGCTCAAGGATGACTCGTGAAGGACAGGACAAGAGATGCTGCAGGCAAGTCAAGCTCATGCGAGCTCAGGAGGAGAAGATGGTGCAGGTGGATATTGTGAAACTGTTCACCACGCACATTAAGTTGTTGGTTACATATATGCTCAATGTCTACTGGATCCAGATGCCACAAATATACCACGAGAGCGCATCTTGGTTGGACTCAACCAATAACACGAACGGGAACGCACGCGCACGCCTTACTGGGGTGTTTCGAAGTGCTTGTAGAGAATACGGTCATAGACTCCTCTGGCGCTGTAGGCTGGCGAGCAGACGATCTCCACGTGCAGCTCCTTGGCAAAGGGCGGCACAGCCAGCAAGGACTGGCTCCCCTTCCCTTCCGCGACGCCGGCCTCTGCTTCGTACCTCTGCGGAGCAGACCACACCGAAGCGGGAGACGTCAGGGGCGGCTTTCCACCACGAGGCCCCGCACCGTCTCCTCCCTCCATCAC